CTTCCAGCCTCCATCTGTAATCAAAAGATTACTTTGGGACATCCTGAACCTTTTGTGGTTTTTATTTGCTAAAAGGGTGATGCCCCTAAAATACATTTTTTGAGAGTCAGCTTTTTGAGCACACAGATTTGCAGACATGGCAGTTTATGTTCAACTCCTATTTGGTGTCCCAAAATGAGGGCATAATGACAAACAGTGACCCAGAAGACTCTTAAGCTTCTGGCCTTGAAAGAAAAAAAAAACCAAAGCAACACTTCGCAACGCCAGCACAAATAAATGCTGCTATAGAATTTCCTCTCGGCTATATACATAGTAAATGGGATTTCACAGTGGAAAGGGCAGGCCTTCAACAAGCAGGTGATGCAATATTCAGCCAAAGACTGCAATCAGGGTGTAGCAATCCTAAAGCAGTGCTCACAACTCGTGTGTCACAAAATCAGTGTTAGGACACAAAAGTGTAGCAATCCTAGAGCACACTGAGGCAAATCAGTGTTGGGACACAATCCTGGAAGCCAACCAATGCGACTGGAAAACAGCAACAAAGCAACGGAGAGTGACACAATGCAACTGGGCAGAGCAGGGGAGGGCAGAGGGGAACTGAGGATACAGTGTAAGTGAACGAAGACAGATTACTCACAGTGCTGGGTAACAAAAGGAGCACCTTACAATGCAGAGGAAGGGGTCCAGCTGACTAACCCGCAACAATGGCACTGAATGGACCCAAATAATGGGCAACATAACGTATCAGTTAAAATACAAGGTGACATCAATACATTGGAAGACTAACGACGCGTTCGTAAAAAGCAATTTCATTAAAATCGACCTAAACATAAATCTGGGATTGGATTTTGTGTTCAAGAAAGAGATTCAATCAATCACTGTTAATGATATTTCTATTAGAAACTTAATTGACAACTTTAGATTTTTGTTCGGAATCGGTGCAAAAAAAGACTGTTCAATTGCATGCCAGGAGGAAGAAAAAAAAAAAAGAATTACAAATTTGGTCAGATCAGCTGATTGGATCATAGTGTATATGGTGGGCATTAGATGGTAAAATAAGAGATTGGCCAGGATACATTATAACAATGGGTATATAGACATCGGTATAGGGTATAAAAGAACGATCAGGATACATTGTAACAATGGGTATATAGACATGGATTAAAGTGTATATGGAGATTGTTACAGGGTAAAATACAAGACCAGCCAGGGTACATTAACAATGGGTACCTAGAGATCAGTATAGGGTAAAATAGGAGATTGTTATAATGTATCCTGACCAATATGTATAGACATCATTACAGGGTGGGGGGGGGAAATCAGCCAGGATACATTGTAACAATGTGTAGACAATCACCAATATAGGGTAACAGAAGAGATTGGCCAGGATACATTGTAACAATGGGTATCTAGACATGGATTAAAGTGTATTCGGAGATTGTTACAGGGTAAAATACAAGATCGGCCAGGATACATGTAACTATGGGCATCTCGAGATCATTACAGGGTGACAAAAGTAGAGCTGCAGCTAACGATTATTTTCAAAATCGATTAGTTAGCCGATTATTAGGTTCGATTAATCGGTTAATCGGATAAACAATAAAATAACGTTTAAAAAAAAGGCTCCAGTGATGGGACTACTAGTTTGTATTGAGGTTGTAGTCCTTTGACAACTTTTTCAATAATCGATTATAATCGATTATGTCGATTAGTTGTTGCAGCCCTAGACAAAAGATCAGCCAGGATACATTGTAATCATTACCGGGTGGGGGGAAATCACTATCAGCCAGGATACATTGTAACAATGTATAGCCAAACATCAGTATAGGGTATAATAACAGATCAGCCAGGATACATTGTAACAATGTATAGCCAAACATCAGTATAGGGTATAATAACAGATCAGCCAGGACACATTGTAACAATGGGTATCTAGACATCATTATAGGGTGGCCTAAAAGATCAGCCAGGATACATCGTAATCATTACAGGGTAAAATAAAAGATCACCAAGGACATAATAAACATTCTTGACTCACTTGGGGTAGAATGTAACAAGCATCAATCAAGATACAATATACAATGTAACAATAATAGAACCACCAAGCTCCAAACATGAACAATAAACCAATGACGATACAATGAAACAATGTAAAAGGATACATCAGGCCAAGTACATTGTAACAATAATAGATGGGTCAGGCTACAGTGTGAAGCTAACAGCCACCACTAGGCTGACCGAGGCAGAGGACTGGAGTGTAAACAGAGAACTTCCATCACAATGTAATGTCCGTGACTTGGTGACACTCAGAGCAATGTTTGTATACAGCAGGATACAATGTAACAACGGAGAAGGCCGGACAGATACATTTCCCTGCACAGTATTGTAGAAGGTGGGAGAGCCTTGTAATAAATGATTGTGAAGAGACAATGTGATTTGTGTCACCTGAATACAACTATTGATCGCTTTGATCACTGATCAATCCACCCAATACATTTCCGATACACATGCTATAATTGTATGGAGCGCACAGGATTTGGTGAACTGATACAATGTAACAGTGCCGGGAACAGTAAAGACCTCCTTTTCGAAGGGTGGGGGTGCAGATACAGCTACAACAATGTATTCTTACCTGTAATATGAGACACAGGGTGGGTCCTCTTGCAGGGTCCACTGCTGGCATTGAGTGCAGGCTGGGTTCTGTTGGGTTCAGTGCTGGTACTGGGGGCAGGCTGGGTATTGTTGTTCAGTTCAGTGCTGGCAGGCTGGGTGCTGTTGCTGGGGGCAGCCGGGCACCATTGGCTGGCATTAGGGGCAGGCTGGTCAATGCTGCTGGCATTGGGGGCAGGCTGGGGGCTGTTGCTGGAGCAAGGTTGGGCAGTGGGGGCAGGCTGGCACCTATGGCTGGCATTGGGGGTACTGTTGTTGGCAGTCTGGGTGTCATCAGTTGACTCTGGGGTGCTGATGGTTGCCCTCAGCCTCGGGGGTGCCCTGTAGAAGGCTGGCACCGTGTCCTCCCTGCTCTCCTCCCAGACATAGCGGCTGCTGGACAGGGGCACCCCCCTCTGGAAGTCAAAGTCCCACCTGCGGTTGCTCTCCTCCTCCATCTCCCGCAGCCTGCTGTGCAGCTCCCGGCTCAGCTCGGCATGATCCACCGGTCCAAACAGGCTCCTGCACACCGAGGGGCCCGGCCTGAGGGCCACGTCTGCCTGCTGTACATTGCACATCTTTCCCCCAGGGCCAGCGATCGCCTCCCCACACTCACACACTGTCCCCACCGGCTGCGGCTGCTGGGACAATCGCTGTTTTCTTACACACACGCAGAGGCCACGCCCAAAACACAGAGCAGGGACCGCCCCTAGCGCGCAGGGATTGGACGCCCGGGGTGTACGCCGTACAGCTGATTCTGCCGAGCTGCTAGGGTGGGGACGGGGCCACGCCCCCTCTGCACTCATCGGGTCGGGAGGGTCAGGTTACTCTACTACAACCGTGACAGCTGTCTGCTGGGTCCTAGAGGGCTTATAACGGGAAATTCTCTGCAAGAAGAGCTGATCGGGGTTACAACAAAGCATGAGAATGGCACGGGCTTATTTTTTTTTTCCGAAGGGAAATTCCTTTAAGAAAAAAATGTGATTGGTCTTGTATCAGTTCTCTAATCAGAAGCAACTTGGAAAAAGCTTTCCATTAATACTAGATAATGGTTGGCATGCTGTCACCATCTGACACCCTCAGGCATCATTGCCAGCCTGGCTATCCCTAACAGTTGGCCAATTCTTCTTCTTTATACCTATAGAGCAGCCTGGGGGAGGGGAATGCATTGCAGATACTTCTGGCATAGGCTACTGAAGAGTAAAAAACATAACGAATGCTGTAAAGGCGATCATACACGTAGCAATCTGCGATCAATTTATATGTGAGCAATCGCAAGTGATCTATGAATATTGAACGATGCAACATGCGCAGTATTGTTCCACATTTTGTGATCGACTGAAAATATTGATCGAAAGTCTAAGCTATCGGTTACAAATGCATATGATCTATTAAAAGTCATCATTTCATTAATCTGAATTATGGTCAGTTCAGGGATAATTATTTGATTGATCAGAAGCAATCGTCAAAATTTCGCCACGGATGGCAAGGTCGACATTGAGGGCGCATTGAACCGATCACATTGATGGTCTTTGGTTCACAATTTTCATGAAATTCGATCAGTTTGGCCACATTGAATGATTGATCTATGACCGCGTCAATACATGTGTCCACATTAAGCCACCCAGACTCTCCTTGGAGATGCTCTACTGGTTAGATTGGATTGGGGTAGGCAACCTCGGCCCGCCAGCTGTTGTGGAACTACAAGTCCCATGAGGCATTGCAAGACTCTGACAGCCACAGGTATATCTCCCGGAGGCAGAGGCATGATGGTATTGTAGTTTCACCACAGCTGGAGTGCCAAGGTTGCCCACCCCTCATCCAGCCTGCCCAGTTTGGGTTGCATAGAGGCTGCCATAGCTGAAAGTACTATTTGCCTGGCTGCCTCTATCTTTAAAATGTCTATATTCCCCAATGCAATGCAAACGTGCAGCCAGAGAAATCGATTATCTGCTTGCCAGCTCCAGGCCATTGCTTTAGAACCTACGGATCAACGTGGCAGCCAGGCAGCTAGTGGTTTCCAAAGGAGAGAACAGCCTACATCAGGGGTAGGCTAACTGCAGCCCTCCAGGTGTGATGGAACTACATATCCCATCATGCATCTGCCTGTGGGAGTCATGCCTGCGGCTGTCAGAGTCTTGCAAGGCCTCATGGGACTTGTAATTCCCCAACAGCTGGAGGGCCAGAGTTCCCCTACCCATGGCCAACATGTTTCTCTTACTACAAATGCCTTTTTAGGTCAAACTTATGTCGGCTATACTTAGATCCCCTCCAACTATGTGAGCTCTCATGGCTCTTCGGCCATTTTGATTGGTTGGCTGGGGATGATGTAGCTGCCATGTCTGCGCAGGAGACCTCACACTGCTGCTCAGTCTACATTTAAACAAGTGTTGGGATGGGCTCCTTTAGTACCAAGGCAATAAGGACAAAGTACCACCCCCAAGCTGTGAACTACGTCTACACCACAGGTTGCAAGTCCTGCCCTCCTGTTGATCCCGTCATGCCTCTGCCGCTGGAAGTCATGCCTTTGGCTACACAGAAGGTGAAGGGAGAGGCAGAGGAGCTGGGCCTGTACAGACAGTAATTAGCCACTCCCAAATAAGAGAAGGCTATGGTGATGGATGCCGGCAGAGAGAGGAGGGGGCGTTCACCCGGCGGGATGAGGTACGCCACCGGGTCCCCTCCTCTCTCCTGACACTGTCGGGCTCTCGGTCCGTGAGTGAGTGCCTGACTTTTTAGAGGGGGTGACACCAAAATGACTCTCAGGGTCTCTTTAATCAAATGCATTGCTGAACACCGGAGTGCATTAAACTGTGCGCACTTGGCGGACGGACGTCAGGAACGCGCGCTGAGCACGCCACTTTGATGCAAAAAACACCGTCTTTTTAGATAGCTGCTCAGTGCGCCTCCTGCTGCGTTCACACCTGACCGTTTTGTAGCGCGTCCTATGCTCGACGAACGCTCTACAAAACGGTCAAAAAAATAAATAGCATTGTAGTCAATGGTCTCGTTCCCACCTTGGCGTATTTCCGCCCGTCCCTAACGCCCTACAAAACGGCCCACGCCTGAAAAGGTCCCGGGACTACTTTGGGCCGTTTTGTAGGGCGTTTTCCATTTGGATACTGCCAAGTAGCCTTTGGAATCGCGCGACGGTCGCGCGACTTTTTTACCGCGAATCGCGGTAAAAAAACGTGTGACGGTCGCGCGACAGACGCGCATATTACAATACGCCTAGGTGTGAATGGGGACTAACTCATCATCCTGATTCGTTTCTGCTGCTGCAAGACTTCTCTAGGACCCAGCAGACCGCCGCGCTTCCTGCAGAGCATTGATCCCCTCCCAGCTTCCAGTGATGTGCGATTCGAGGTGGAGTCGCTGGGACTCTGTGTACACTGTGTAGTAGTGACGTGACAGGTCCCCAGCACCCTGCAGACACTTGTCCTTTGTTTGCCGTGTAGTATGTTGCTGTCAGCTCTGCGTGTAGTGACTGCGCTGGGCGGAGCCTGGCCTTTATACAACAGCTGAACGTGACACCGCCTGCTAGCGCAGTCACAGACGTAACCCAGCAATGACCCTGTCACTCTTCGCCGTAGCAAAACAACTGCTACGCACGCGAAGACGATTGTCGCCAATTTTTTTTCGATACAGTTTTGGCACCTGAAGTGTTTTATGTTTTTCAGTTCCCAACCCCCCAAAAAAAACCCTTCTGTTGTATTTTAGGCTAGGTATAGAAGTGAGAGGCGATCGCTGATCTGTACAGACCCCCCCCCCCCCTTCCCGGGTGATCGATATTGGGAGGAAATGTATTTTACGGGATCAAAATGGAGATATATGAAATCTAACCAGGACACAAAAGTGTGTATAGCAACAAGATATATGAGAACAGCTAGAGATGAAAAATAGATTATAAAAAAGTCCCAACATACTGTGTATAAGAAGCATTATTTGCTACAATGTAAATGCAATACACTCCGATCAGCCATAACATTATGTCCACCCCCTCATATTGAGTAGGTGCCCCTTTTCCTGACCCATGGAGGTATATTGGACTCCACTAGACCTCTGAAGGTATGCAGTGGTATCTGGCACCAAGCCGTCAGTACCAGATCCTTTAAGTCCTGTAAGTTGCCATGTGGGCCCTCCATGGATCACTTTTCCAGCACTTCTCACAGATGCCTAATAGGACTGAGACCTGGAGGCCAAGTCAACACCTCAAACTCATTGTTGTGTTCCTCAAACCATTCTTGAACATTCTTGCAGTGTGGCAGGTGCATTATGCTGCCGTCAGGGAATACTGTTTCAATTAAGGGTGGTACTTGTTCAGGAACAATGTTTAGGTCGGTGGTACGTGTCAAAGTCACATCCACATGAATGGCAGGACCCGAGGTTTCCCAGCGGAACATTGCCCAAAACATCACACTGCCTCCGCCAGCTTGTCTTCTTCCCATAGCGCATCCTGGTGCCATCACTTCCTCAGGTAAGTGACGCACCCGGCCATCCACATGATGTAAAAGAAAATGTGATTCATCAGACCAGGCCACCTTCTCCCATTGCTCCGTGGTCCAGTTCCGATGCTCGCATGCCCATTTTAGGCATTTTTGGTGGTGGACACAGGTCAGCATGGGCACCCTGACCAGTCTGTGGCTATGCAGCCCCATACATAACAAACTCCAATGCGTGTGTTCAGACACCTTTCTATCAGAACCAGCATTAACTTTTTCAGCAATTTGAGCTCCAGTACCTCTTCTATTGGATCGGACTACACAGGCCAGCCTTCCATCCCCACGTGCATCAGTGAGGTTTGGCTGCCCATGACCCAGTGCCCCTCTTGAGACTAGACTAGGGATCCACCCCTGCCCCCCCCCCCCC